TGACCCAAAACACAAGTCCAAGCTATGCTAAAACTACCTCAGGAAAAAGAACAAGATGGTAAGCTTGAAAACATGGAGTGGTCAGCACAGTCTCCACACTTAAACCCCATCGAGCTGGTTTGGGATGAACTAGACAGAAGAGTGAAAACCAAGCAGTCTACAAGTGTCACACAGTTATGGGAACTTCAACAACAGACTTGGGAAGAACTTTCTGAAGAATATTTGATTTCTATTGTAGAAAGAATGCCACGAGTGTGTTCAGTTGTTATATCTGTCAAAGGTGGCTACTTTGATGATTCTAAAGTTTAGAATACATTTTGGTCTATAAATTGATTCCATGATTTATTTTTCAACTCAAATTGCTTATTTATTCTATGCTTTCATTTCAGAATGCAATGACACAATAAACTGAATGATTTTCAGTAAAAAATGGGAAAAAGTGTGGTGTTCTAAAACTTTTGACCGGTAGTGTATGTATATGTGTGACATCTAGCTGTCCTATGTGCTTTTAGGCATTAAACAGAGTCTACCTTTAGAGATGAAGACAATCTGACTTTGACTTTATTATTACAGTACGAACAGACATGGAAGCAGCTCAAACACGTTCATCTCTGCACTTCACAGAACACAGAACTGAAGTTAGGAGGCAAAAAAGACCAGGAGTTCTGGCACTGGATAACCTGGATTATTGTTTTAATGAACAGCAGTGCATCTGTTCACCTGGAGCTTGTGTGACGTGTGTCCTGTAGCCTCACTTTGCCGGAAACACATTGTGCACACTGGTGCAACAAAAGCTGATAATCTGTGCTGCGCTGAGGATTGTGGGTCAGAACGACCAGAAAAGCCTGCTGGCTTGTATAATGCAGAATGAGGCCAGATGTAGTAGGACATCCTGGTACGTTTGGCACACTGCTTCTATGGACCACGTGCTGGAGTTACTAAAGCTTTTCTGTTTGTTGTTGGAACATTGATGTTCTGAATGGAAGTGATAAAAACGCACTACATTTAAAGGAACATCTCCTGTACCGTGACTGGTGCACTCCTCTCTGCCAACAGGTCATGTTGAGTACATAGCTTTATTATCAGGATTGTGGTGTAGAGCAGACTGCTGAGAAAACCTTTACAAGGCAGGAAACATTCAGAAGAACATGTCCATCCACTGGAGCTGAGCATTGTTCAAGTACATGTTGAGTTCAACTGGTAGCACTTAAATATTTATCAATTAACTATTGAATGACCGTGTGTACCAATAACGGTGTGCCCTTCTGGGTGTTAATGAGCTCATGGCTGATAAATGAGCGCCTCATGGAATCCAATAATATCTGTTATAAATGACCCTGTGAAGGAAATCAGCGCTGTGCTGCTACACAGAGGTCAGACACATCTCCTGTCTCCTGACCAGGAACTCCATCCATGAATGAAACTGTGTAAAAGCGTGTGTGTCTTAGTCACACCATAGCATAGTAAATATACCACCATGCCCGACTAGTACGGATAGATTTCAGACTTTCTAGTGGTGAGAAAATGTGTTTTCATAGCCCATAAAATAATAAAATATTTTAAAATGTCTTCATCAATTGACTTGCCCTCAGAAATACCAAAGGTAACATGGGGGTAACATGGAAGTAACATGGGGGTAACGTGGAGGTGACATGGAGGTAACATGGGGGTAACATGGAGGTAACATGGAGGTAACATGGGGGGTAACATGGAGGTAACATGGAGGTACCATGGGGGGTAACATGGGGGCAACATGGAGGTAACATGGGGGTAACATGGAGGCAACATGGAAGTAACATGGGGGTAACATGGAGGTAACATGGAGGTGACATGGAAGTAACATGGAGGTAACATGAAAGTAACATGGGGGTAACATGGAAGTAACATGGGGTAACATGGAGGTAACATGGAGGTAACGTGGGGGTAACATGGAGGTAACATGGAGGTGACATGGGGTAATGTGGAGGGTAGCATGGAGGTAACATGAAAGTATCATGGAGGTAACATGGAGGTAACATGGGGGGGTGACATGGAGGTAACGTGGAGGTAACGTGAAGGTGGTTACCTCCATGTTACCTCCATGTTTGTTCAACATTACACTACATAGACAAAGAGAACGGTTTCCAGCGCTGTAGGCAGCTGGTCCTGCTGTGATATCGGTGGAGATGGAACCAAGCTCTCACCTTTAGCTCCAGCCCAGTTTTAGCCCATGCAGTATGGATTCATAGCTCCAACTGTTTACAGGTTCAGAAGTCCACTTTCACACACACCACTTCAGTGACTTTAGCTCTCTGATGGATTGGCTGTGCCTGGTGGGATGGCTGCTGAACCAGTCAGACCTTACCTAGATGTAAAGCCCATGGCTCCATCTCTGACTGGGAGATGCCATTCAGTGACTTTTGAGGCACTAATGACCTTCTCCTTGGAGGGTTTCTCTTCCCAAGGTGATGGAGGCTGCTAATGACAATGTGTTGCGGCCTGCACACCTGGGTCTGTAACCAGGTGTCTGCCTCTGTGTGGACATTCTGTCTCCTGGGTCACCTCATCATGTCAGTCCTCTGCCTCCCCAAAGACCTCATGGTTCTTCTCATGCTGCTGCAGCCTTCCTTGTTTTCCAGACCTCATGGGAAAGTCAGAACTACTGCTAATTCCATTCAGGAAGTTTCCTCATAGACACTCAGGCACTTCCTTTTAAAGCTGCAATGTGGCTAGTTGTCGTTGAGCTGGTGGGCCTCTTTGCCGTAGTTTCCTTCATAGCTGGTTCTGGCGCATGAGAGATCCAAGGATGTATGCTGGTTCAAGTTAATGGGACCAAATACCATTATTTCATTTTAAAGACCCCTCTGGCACTTCAACAGCTGCAAGCACTGACCCCAAAGTGTTTTCTGCGCTACTTGGGTGACAAACCCTACAACAAGGAAAGTTCCTAAAAGACACAAGCCTGCAGCGGAGCCACATAGCTGCATTAATCCTGTCAGCCTGCAGCAGAGGGTTTCCATGTCATTAGTCCTCAGAATCAGTTTCTGAAGACGACATAACAGCGTGGCTAAATGACTTCAGTATCACAGCTCACCATCGTTCAGCATAGAGCAGGTTTGCAGGGTTAGCAGAGCTGAAGATGAGCAGGAAGCTGAAGCTACAGTGACAACCTCAGGGTGGGTGGTCAAAAGAGAGGCAGGGACTTCATAGAGCTGCACATTCCAGACCATGGATCTCCAACTCTGGTCCTTGTGAGCTGCTGTCCTGCAGGTTTTAGACGTTTCCATACTGCACCTGACTCACATGAATGGATCTCCAGCAGCTTGTTGTCAAGTTCTACACAAGTCTGGTAATGATCCATTAAGGTGTGTTGCAGTACGGAGACGTCTGAAACCTGCAGGACAGTAGCTCATGAGGACCGGAGGTGGAGATCCCTGGACCAAAGGGAGCAACAGTGTGCAGTTACATCTGAACCATTTCAGTGCAGGACTGAGTATTTGTTATTATTATGGAACAAACTTCCCCATACGTAACTCTGATGAACATAGATGTGGTTTTAGGACATTAATTAATTATTGTTGGGGGACATTAAAGGCTGCTATCATAAACATCAAAGTCTACAGCCAATTCAAGATGGAGCAGTTCTATCATAAAGTTTAAATGTGGTTTAGCTCTGAGCGACACCCTGAGATCAAGACAAGCTCAACAGAATCCAAATGTTGTGTTAAGACTTAGACTGAAAGGTCAGCACAGCACTCCTGCTAAAAATATACCACAAAGAATGTATGTTCTGAGCCGACTCTCCTTGGATGTCTCTTTGCCTTCCATAGTCCCAGAGCTGTTTATATTCAGACGCTGCAGACTTCCAGCTCCCTGTCCCAGCGCTGAGGTGGTTTGTTTCCATCATTAACATGGTGCTGCGCTGTTCCTCTGTTCCTCCTCAGGTGGAGTCCAGTGTCCCAACGTCAGCGCCCTGCAGGAGGTGAGGAGCTGCAATGACCATCCCTGCACTGTGTACCACTGGCAGACCGGGCCATGGGGGCAGTGCATCGAGGACTCTTCCCTCCCGTCTACCAACACGTCTGCGGGCCGAACACGGGGCACTGATGCGTCTTGCTCAGTGGGGATGCAAACCCGCAAAGTCATCTGTGTCCGGGTCAACGTGGGCCAGGTTCCACCCAAAAAGTAAGATTTGTCAGAAGCATTCTACATGAAGCTCCAGAGTGAATAAAAACTGTCCATGACGCGAGGAGCCTGGATGGAGCCCAGTGGAGTTACCAGTGAAAGACATGAATCCAGAGATGGTGTCTGTGATGAAGGACTGATGTGCTCGTGTTCATGAACACCTCATAGATAGGATCTGACTGTTAGTTCTATGAGTAATGATGACGTTTGGGCTGGACACAGAAAGGGGTGAAACTAATCTGGCTAAACTGTTCAGTCTGTCTGTTTGCATAAAACAATGTTAGAAAATGTTCAGAGTCCAGCAGTACCTGCTGAGTTAACCACCAGCGGACCTGTTGGCCGGATGCACAGCGCTGCGCTGAAATGCTTTAGGAGGGAACTCACCCGCATTTAGAAATTAGTTTCAGTTTCAAGGTCAATTATCAGAAAATCAAAAACAACAAACAAACAAACAATAAATAAATGGATAAATAAGGAGGAAACTTATTTTCAAGTCACATATGTGTTAACATCTTGTTGTTAATCCACGGCCTGGCTCCAGGTCGCTGTGTTACCGCCCTCACTTGGGTCTGACCAGAACCAGTGACGTCTTCTAGTATTCTGTAAAATATTCTGCTCTGAGTGAAAAATGTTAGTTTGAAGTTTCTGTCAGACTGAACTGACAAAGAGAAACCGTCTGACTGACTCTGAGCAGCTCATGTTATGACTAATAGTCAGTACAGAACTAATACAAACACAGCATCAGCACATAGCCTCTCTGTTACCTGCTCAGATGTTGACAGGATGAACAGCGCTTCAGTACCACTGCTTTCATTCAGTGGAGGGCAGCCCTTGCTTTGCTTGCAGACTCTGTTTGCACATGGAGCGTTGTGCCATTTAGTCTCCTGTTAGCGTGCTGCTGCTGGTGTCTGCAGAGGTGTTCGCTGATAGGCTGACGAGCTGCTGGCCAACTGTTTTAAGCATCTGGGTCCCTCTCCCTCCCCGGAGGCATCTGCTGGGAACATGATTTATCTATTTATTTATTCAGCAGAATGGGAGCATTATTGTGGCAGCAGAGCAGCTAGGAATGCCCGCCAGCTCCCATGCTGTGTATGGAAATTAATCTTGCTTTTTATTCCTGCGCTTACTCCTAAATCTGCTGTTACACGCTGAGCAGTGAGCCACTGCCTTGGGACACACTTCCACATCAATGGAGAGACGGGCACCCGCCTCCACCGGCAGCACCAGCTGTGGTTAGAACGTGAGGACAGGCACAGTGGATACAGAGGGGTGTTAGAAAATGCTAATGCAGTGGCATGATAGCCTAAATGAAACATGTACAGGAATGTTTATGAGCTGTGGTGTGTGTGTGTGTGTGTGTGTGTGTGTGTGCGTGTGTGTGTGCGCGTGTGTGTGTGTGTGTGTGTATGTGTGTGTTCATCGTGAAACAGTTCAGTTCTGAATCAGCCACATTCAGAGCCTTCAAGCAGAACTCCCAGCATGTTTGCTCTGGCTCTGATCCAGCACATCACCATCAGATGTTCAAGGGTACGCTGTGTGTGACTGAGCATGTCAATGATGTCCTTCCAGGTGTCCGGAGAGCGTTCGCCCAGACACCGTCAGGCCATGTCTGCTCCCCTGCAAGAGAGACTGCATCGTCACTCCCTACAGCGACTGGAGCGCCTGTCCATCAGCATGTGGAGCAGGTAGCTTCAGTCCAACCTGTGAAGCAAGCAGGGCGTCACACAGGCCACATGTTAGGAGAGGGTGCTGCTGTATGACGGTCTCAGCTAATGAAGCATGCCAGATGTGCTCACCATTACTCAGCTGACAGATCATAAAATCATCATGCTCACAGAGAAGGGATCGCAGACATCCCAGTTCTGTTTGTGACATTTAGCAAAGCAATGCTCTGTTAGATCATGTATTCGTCTGTATTAAATCCCCCCATCGCAGCAAACGGCTGCTGCTGGGTAATCTGGAATATGTTTGTCAAGCAAACAATCAAGAACCCTCACAACTCCACGAGCAGGGCAGATCCTTCAGTCACTTTGTTGTCTTGGATGTATGTACAGCGTCTCCCTTTGTTCTCAGCAGCTCTGACAGGAGAGCAGATGATCCATCAGCAGCACTGGTTGCCCCACAACCTGCCGCCATGTCCACTGTGCTTTAGGGTGTCCAGTACACATGCACGCATCGACCAGCAGTGATGCAGTTACACCCCTACACACAAACACACCTCTCCCTGTGAGAGCTCTGTTCAGTATGTTGGAGCTGCAGTCTGTAAACGGTCTCAGTCTCTAAGAGGTTAACCTTGGACATGATTGACCAGCTCTGGCGCTGTCCGGACGGCAATCTGATATGATGGTCCTAATATAGACCCGACTTCCTGTAAAGTCAATATGGAGATGTACTGGACACCACAGAGCACATCATAGGAGTGTATTCTGGATTTCATGTGATTGGATTAGCCCCCTGATGCATTTCAGAGAGCTGAAGAGCAGCCAGAGAGCAGCCAGAGAGCAGCATTAGTTTAACTCTGACATATTTAATAGAGCACCCGGAGCACCCAGAGACGTCCCTTCTATAAGAACCTGTTTAAAGGTTGGGACGTGCTGGAGCAAAAGCAATGGCTAACCCTAACCCTAATGCTGTTCTCTCTGCTTCAGTAGCTTCACTCTGCTGTAGGCTGAGTTTTGGTGGATGCTTCTGAAACTGAAGACATGCTCTCCTGTGACTTCCTTCAGGAGGCAGCATTAAGAAGAAGCAGTACAGGAAACGTGTCATCATCCAGTTCCCAGCCAATGGGGGACAGGACTGTCCTGAGGTCCTGAACCAGGAAAGAGAGTGTGAGGCTCCGTCCGTCTGCCAGGGATACAGGTACTGACACGAACACACATACCACTGAGCTTATTACACATGTCTGTCCCTGGTCCCACCTGCTGGGATGGAGCTCCTAGAAACACATGATCACAGGGACTCAGCCTGAGCTGGGCCATGAGGGCTGTCCAACAAAAACGGTCCAATAAAATCTGATGCTTTATGTGGGTGTAAGTCCGATACCTGAACTCTAGCCAGCAGTACGTTCTGAATCTACATTTCAGTTGGGGGACTTGTTCCGGTCAGTCCAGCTCCCCGTTCTGTTCAGTCTGGTGTCTTGTGAGGAGTTATGAGATCTCAGCCAGCCCCCCAAACATCAGTTTCACGTGTTCTCCTGTCTAATGTGGTGTTCTGGTCCAGACAGATCTCTGATTCTTGTCCGTGTTCTCTGACAGATGGAAAACCCACAAGTGGCGCAGATGTCAGCTGGTTCCATGGTCAGTTCGACAGGACAGTCCTGGAGCTCAGGAGACCTGTGGACCAGGTCTGCAGGTTCGAGGTGAGGACATCCATGTGTGCACAGACGACACAAACAGTCCGTCTTGTTTCTACATGTTGGTCAGATGGAGCAGAAGAACAGCTGATCATGAGCAGCCATCAGGACGGAGCAGTGAGCTACGACGAGGTTCTGATGGAGATCTGGGACCACTGAACGGACCTCTTTGGGGGGACGGGTTGTTCACACTAAAGCAGCACCGGGGCATAATGCAGCTCTGATCCTGTCAATGATGAGTGTTAGTGTCCAGTCTCAGCTTCCTGAGTCCACGACACCGATGCAGCAGACGGACTCACATGTTCACAGGTGCAGGTGTACAGGTGTTCACTGGAGGGTTTATGACTTGTTGAGATTCTTACAAAAGGCCCAGAAGAGCCAAACTGCCCCAGTCAGACTGTAGCTGCTCTGAAACCAGCAGCACCGGTATGTCTGCATCGCATTTATCTCATTCAAACATTTCCAGCATCCATGAAGCTGAACACCAGCGTCCGTCCGGTTCCCCTCTCATTCAGCTTTTCTCTGTTTCCATCAGTGTTAATGAGACTGTAACTAAAAACACCTGCAAGCAAAGCACCTGTGGAGGATCCCAGTAGGTCCCTCTTTTAAAATCCCACCAAAGTAAGAGCACAAAGACATCGTCAGCAAAATGTACCTGAAGCCACTAAAGTATGTACTGAACGAGACCGCAGCTCTCTGTGACTAATACACGGTTATATAGCGTTTATAGGTGCTGCTGCCTGCAGTGGAGCTGGTTCTGAACCTTGGACACACAGTGGATCAGTCCAGAGGTGGAGCCGATCCACAGGGACACCAGACAGACCTGGAGAGTCCTGGATGATCAGTGGGAAAGAAGGACAGGGTTCTACAGCACAAATCTGTCTTCGTTCTAGTCTTTCATTAGTTTATGACACATGTGATGCTGTTAACTCTTGTTACATTTAGTTTAAAACAAACAAACAAACAAACAACCGTGTGGATTCTAGAAGCTGTAGTGGAGCTGTATCCACCCAGACGTCTGAATCGTGACCTCACTGTTCGCTGCGGCTTCTGTTTTCTGTGAAGCTTTGTTTACTTATGTTGTTGTTTATTTGTTTACTTATTATGATAGTATAGAAATCAATCAGCAGAATCTTGGCACACGATTTAGTCTACGTTTCCACGGTGACCAGTGGATTAGTGAAACTTACCTGTGGAGCAAGTAAATGTTTTTAAGTCTCATGCCTTCAGAATGTGTCTTTCAGTTATCAACAGCTCAGAATCCTGCTCACATGGTTCACGCTGCCTCGACAGTAGGCCCGTTTCTCTTCTGATTGGCTGTTTCAGTGTCTGGAACTTTAAACACAGTCGAGCTGCTATTCACGACTTCTTCAGGAAGAAGACTCTGCATCTGCTGTGGTCAGTGACGGGGTTAGGGTGAGAGGAGAGCACACAGCGCCTGACATGTAGAGGAGGAGGAGCGTGAGATCAGGACTCTGTGTTGCTTCTACTTTGTCTCTCAGCGATGCTTCTACCCAGCCAGCCCTTAGTGAGCACGTTCACATTGCTCTCTCGGACTTCCCCTGTGTCCCTGTCCCTTAGCATCACGGCGTCCACACACCTCTGACCTGGGAAGGTTCAGTCAGAGCTAATAGGAACGCTAGCCGTGTGATAGATGCTCAGCAGCAGCAGGCGGTCTCTACCCAGAATGACATTCACACTGGAAGGTAGAGATGGAGGCTACCACGAGTGTTCATTACTGGATGTGACCACACAGACTGACTGTTTCCTGTGATGAATACCTGAGGTGCTACACCTGTACCGCTCATTCAGGATGTTGTGCGTAGCGCTGCAGCCTGAGAGGAGAGCATGCCGGCTGGCAGCTGACTGTTATCAGACTCCTATTAAAGTGTCAGAGACAGAGCACATTATCTGAGTCCGATGATGAGCTTCCTGCTTCTTCATCTTGGGAGGCTCTTGTCATTACACACTATTATCTGTAATCGTACACTCTGATCCAGAGACAATCCGATACACGCCTTCATTCAGCCGCTCGCTCAATACGACGAGCAGAGGGCCAGAGCCGCTCTACGGCTCTACTGCCAACATCCCCCAGGACGGTGTGTGTGTGTGTGGAGGTGTGTGTGTGTCTGTGTGTGTGTATCTATGTATGTGTGGAGGTGTGTGTATCTATGTGTGTGTGGAGGTGTGTGTATCTGTGTGTGTGTGTGTCTGTGTGTGTGTTTGTGTCTGTGTCTGTGTGTGTGCGTGTGTGTGTGTGCGTGTGTGTGTGTGTGTGTGTGTGCTGTAGACCTTGTGGCTTTGAGACGGGTTAGGGTTGGGTCTGACATGATGACAGTGTTACCGTCGTGTTCTACCTTCATATCTGTCACGTCGTCCTCGTGTGTTCCAGAGAGTGAGAGCTGGAGCTGCTGTTCAGTCACTGAGAAATGGTTCATTTAGCAAACTGCTGACGTTAGAGGCCATGTTTTCTCCACAGCATCTTCTAATGAGGGCAGCATTGGTGCTTCTGGCTCAGTGTGTTGTTTATTAACGTGGAGCATCAGATCACCGTCTCTGTGCACAGACACAGTGAACCACGTTGTTATCGTGCACTCAGACACCGCTACCCACAGAATGACACACTTCCATCCTCATAAAACTCCATCATTTTTATCTCTGTGCAGCTATTTCATGCCGGAAGCAGGATGGAGGCCAAGCGGACGTTGAGGCCTGCCTGAAGTTTGCTCGCTCCATGCCGCCTCTCACCCAGCCCTGCCAACTGCCCTGCCAGGAAGACTGTCAGCTCAGCACCTGGTCCAAGTTCTCCTCCTGCACAGCTGACTGTGTGGGTGTCAGGACCCGAAAGAGGATGCTAGTGGGTAAGTGACAGACTTCCAGACTGAAGTGCCTTGCTGTATGAGGAGACTTCAGAAAGTTCTTGGCCTCACCCACGAACAAGTGCTGTAGCTGCTGTTTAGGTCGTAACGGTTCACTGTGAAGCCTGATGTCACCTGAAGCAGTTAAAGACCAAAGGAGAGAGCACACAGAACCGGGTTCAGAGGAGGTCTGATGCTCCTCACTCACCGACCTGCAGCGTCTCACTTCTGTTTCCAAACTGAGCTCCTACCTGGATGGTCGCCGTTCTCAGAGCGATGATGAAGTCATTCATGCTGTTGAGGAACATCTGGGGCTCAGGATGTGACCTTCTGTTGTGAAGGAAAAGTGAAGCTTGAGAATCAGTGGATGAGGAGGAGACATGTTGAAGATGAATGTGAACACAGAGCTTTTTAAAGTACCCTCATATGGGGTATAAATACGTTTTTCACTTTAAAATGTTCTATGTGTGGAGCTGACTGAGAGGATTCAGACCTCCATGTTGTTTCAGTCTCTGAGTCCCTCAGCTGCCCAGTTCAGACACTGAGCTTCTGGTGCTTTAAAGCCTTGTCTGATACAGAACAATCATGATCATCTTAACCATGTTAATGCTTCATGTTTGTCATGTTCTCCCCACAGGGAAGAGCAAAAAGCGTGATCAGTGTAAAAACAACCAGATGTATCCCCTGAGCGAAACCCAGTACTGCCCCTGTAACAAATACAACGCCCAGCCGGTGGGCAACTGGTCGGATTGCATCCTGCCGGAGGGAGCGCGCATGGAGGGCCAGCTGGGCATGAAGGTCCAGGGGGACATCAAGGAGTGTGGCCAAGGATACCGCTACCAGGCCATGGTGTGCTACGATCAGGACAACCGCATAGTGGAGACGTCTCGTTGCAACAGTCATGGTGAGTCAGTAGACCCTCTCCCAGTGAGCCTTCTTACTTCAGTCATGGTGAGTCAGTAGACCCTCTCCCAGTGAGCCTTCTTACTTTAGCCATGGTGAGTCAGTAGACCCTCTCC